TACACAACTGATTTAGTTTATCATATATACATATTATTAATTGTAGTTTAGTTGATAGGGACAGTGTACAAGGGCACCAAATCCATATCTGATAAGAACCAGAAGATGCTTTTCATCACTTTTTCATTTGCTTGGTTTTATGTTGTTTACATTAGCTTTAAGAAAAGAAATAAGACTGTTTGAAAAAGGAAATTTGATTATTAAATGAGTTTTTAAAAGAGGAAAATTATATTTCAAATTTAACATGGGTTTGAACCAGATTCAGTCAGATGGTCAGTTTACAACCAGATGGTTCATCTTACTCATTGACTCGGGTCAACTTACCCCCACCCTGGGGCAAACTGAGCCACAGGAACACTTTTTTATAAGAAGCCATATTTTTAGAACCCTTTGTCATAGATACATTCTGATCATTTAAAATGATAGGAAACATCCTGAAGTTACTTTAGATACTTTGATTGTACTAATGTGTGATTTTCCCTTATCTTGAGGACCACATAAGTAAAAAGTGGCTCATCTTACCCCACTCTCCCCTAAATAAGACTATAGCTGTATAATTTCTATGAACGTGTATGTGTTCTGGCCACATGACTGAGCACTCAAATGAACGCAAGGGAATCAAATATTAGTCTGTTTATTCTAAGCAAGCACAAGCAGCTATTAAAATATTAACGCAAAAAAACGAGGGCATGTTTTTCTCTGGTGATTTGTAGGCTATTTGTTGTCATTCGGATTAGATAACGTCTCATGTAAACAGTCCACCGAATCTTTCAATCGGAATGATTTTAATCGAATTTCACGTATAAACATAGTTGATCTTCGTTATGGTGCCATATACAGTTTTGGGAGTTTCATTCTTATTTTATGAAAGCCTCAAGTGCAGTTAATAATTTGTCATGCTGTACGTGCAAACAGACGACGGCGTCGTTGAAGCCATGCTCTTTTGTTTGCCGTCAAACGGTTGAGCACTGCTGTGTGTGTATCCTGTCGCAAAATGCAGCGAAAAGTCCAACACGATGGTAATAATGTGATTGGGGGGGGGCATGTTGTTTTATTCTTAGGCCATGGATGTGCGGGAGTGTGAAATTCCCTGCAGGAGTGTGGCCGCATCAAAACCAGAAACAACAAACTAGTGAAATACTATCTTGAATCATTTACAGCTGAATTGCTCAATCAGTTATTTAAAACAGTGTGAATATACGGTAGCCGAGAAGTGCAAAGCAAATCACAATTCTGAAAACAAAATAACAAATTACAAATGCCGAACGTATTTTTTCTCCCTTTTCAAATCTCGTATCACATCGTAAAGGCATTTTCAATAAAAATTAAGGAAATAATCAAAAAGTTGTATCGGGTAGGGTTAGGGTAGGTGTAGGGAGGGCTTTATTGTAACTTCAAGGGTGCAATAGCATCTAGAATAGTTGTACATACAGAATTAAAAGAACAAAACAGCGACTCTGGGTCCAAATAAGATGATGGGTTTTCAAAGGCAGAAACATTACTATTCTTCACAAATGCCACAGAAAAATCGTTAATAATGCTAGAATTTATCATACGACACAGACGTGCATTAGAGCGCAATTTAGTAATCTGACAGGTTTACTAAAAAATGTAAAATTTCACCATGTGGTGGGTTTTCCTAGATCGCATCACATATTTTATCAACAACTTTTATTGTCTGCTAATTGTATTTGCATTAAGAAAATGTTTGCTTTTTGGGTTTTCTGTTTTAAATTTCTCAATAAAGCTTCTGAATTGAATTGAATTGAATTGAAAGCCTTTATTGTCATTGTATTTTTCTGCACACAATGAAATTAAGAGCACTGCTCCTGACTGGTGTAAGAAAACAAACATATAACCACAGACAATAAATAAGACTATAGACTATGTGCAGTACAATTATAAAAGTATATACAACAAGTCATAATATTGCACATTGAGTAATCTGAGTAAAGTGAGCATTGGCAGTACTGCACATTGACCTCTACATTGATATGAAACAGTAAGTATATACAAAAATTACAAACTGAAATGGGTTAAGTGGCAGTAGTGATAAGTGACCAGATACAGTCTTGCACTTTGACATGCCACATCTAATGCATTTGTTAAGTATCCACTTAGTACTGCCATTTTTGACACTACCGAGGCAAAGGGATAAGAACGCTTATGCTTACCGTTCTTCTAAAAACAATAACTAGAAGTTGTCCTGGCTCCTGCAGCTTTCTTTCCCTCTCTTATGGTTGCCAGGTTTTCACAGCAAAACCTGCCCAATTGCTACTCAAAATATCCCAAAACTAGCCCAATCGCTTTTCAGGGGGATTCCCGGTAAATATTGCGTTACAGGGGCTAAAATAAGGCCAATGTTTTTTGGCGGGGTTCCCCTGGTAAAAGTCACATTACAAAATTCTTCTTACAAAATGTTATTCCTACTGATAGCATGTCATTATGTAATTTAATTGTCATTTCCTCATGGTAATATTATGGATTATCAATATATATTTGTAGGCCCCCCTCGTTGAGGGCCCCAGTTCCACTATAACCCCCTGTCCGACGCACCTGTGCACAAAATTCAAAACCAGATACAACAAACTAGCGAAATACTATCTTGAATCATTTACAGCTGAATTGTTCAATCAGTTATTTAAAACAGTGTGAATATGATGAAATGAGTATTATTTTCCCTCCTCCTCTCGACTCCAGTCCAGCGGGTGGCGCTAAAACACAGACGCTTGTTTGCCAAACACCATTAAACCTCAGAGGAAGAAGATTAGTTTCTCTGTGCTCTGTATTAAACCAGCATCACGACAAACAAAACAAGCTGTTAGAAATGTTGTTTCTGTAAATATAAAAATACAGTTTTCTGTATCTGCTGTATCTGAGATCTGCTGCTGTGACGATGGTGTTTGTTGAAGAGGAGAGTGAGGAGAACACGAGTGAACCAGAAGAGAATAAAACATGAGGAGCAAGGAGGTTGGTGTTTATTCTTCATTCATCTTTAATGACTGTTTGTGGTACACACAAAGCATTAACCCTCTGGGGTCTGAGCGGGTTTTGGGGCCCAGGAGTAGTTTTAACATGCCCTGACATTTGTGCTTTTTTCAGTATCTTAAAAACATATTAATGACTCTGTAATCAGCAGAAACTGTGCTACAATAATACATAGGAAGCATGAATATAACCTACATGTTTGTGTTTTTGATAAAACGTTTATGCGTGGTTAGTGAAAAAATAACATTTTTAAGTCATTAAAATAAGTCCATAAAACTCATACAGAACATTTGTTCACAATACTTTTGAGAACTGGATGTGGTAGACTAGTTTTAAAACCCATTAGCATCAAGTCTTGTCTGGTACCAAAACTGTATTAATAGTCTTCTATGAGCCTAGAAGTTGACTGAGCAAAGCCAGAGAAGAGCAGAAGCAGTAGATGAAGGGATGATGATAAAAAGGAGCAAAGTTTATTGTAAAATCTTAGTTGCATATGTTTCAATGCTCACACTTCGACCAGCACAAATCCAAGTAGTGTTTTACCAAACACAATAACATCCCATAAACCTTGAGTTTACATAAACATTCCCTCTTATCTCTTATTCATTCAGACAAAACAGTTAATTAAACCTCACAATCATCAGATTAAGCAATGAAAGTGCATAAACAAGGAAAATTATATTGTTCATGATGTTGATCAAGCATATTTAATAGCTCTCTCAATAGAAACATGAGATTTGTGCTTATAATATTTTAAAACTAATCATTTATGCCTGATGAAGGTCAGTGGACCGAAACGTTGCTTGTGCTTATAACAATAATTTTCAATATTTAGCAAGTACTGATAGTGATTGCATATTTTTATATTTTGGATTCGACAGTGTTGTTGGACTATTTTTTCAGGTGTGCTGAGTTTGTGTTGATTGAAAACTAATAATTTGAAAAGCAGTGTACCTCATTCATGGAAAGATTCAGGGACGTATAATTTATAAAATTACATCAAAATGATCAATTTTATAATGCAATTGTCTACTTTCCGCTGTTATATCAGGGTTAATTTTTATGTCCTTTTACTTTTCTGTATTTTTTTTTTAAACAAGTTATTGATAAATGTACTGTTTTTTTTACTTTTGTTTCAGAGTTGATTGAAGATGAAGTTGAGAAAAATCATGTCAAAAGTGGAAAAAAACCCAAACAGAAAGATTTAAAGAAAAAAAGAGCCAAGAAATATTTCACATGCACTCAGTGTGGAAAGAGTTTGACATACAAACATACTCTTGAGCTTCACATGAGAGTTCACACTGGAGAGAAACTGTACACATGTGATCAGTGCGGGAAGAGTTTCACACAAAAAGGAAACCTTTCAGCATACATGAGAGTTCATACTGGAGAGAAACCATTCACTTGTGATCAGTGCGGGAAGAGTTTCACTCAATCAGCAAACCTTAAGGATCACATGAACATCCACACTGGAGGGAAGCGGCACACATGTGATCAATATATTTCTACATATTTCCGATAAAATTTCAGTTGTACGCGAGCTTCCGGTTTAGCGTTCTCCGATAGCAAGCTGTGGTAATAGCGTGGTCTTTCTGTAAAATTTTCGATTAACTAGCGATTACAAATAATTATTTTATATTATGTATTTTATTAACTGTATTAACATAACATTTTAGTATATTATATTAAAATATAACATTTTATTATTGAGTTCAAGAAGCTTCAAGTTCCTTCGGCGTGAAGGTGCAACATCTATGTATTGCTGTGTCCCATTATGTGAAACATCCTCAAGGTGTAATTCTGTGGTTAGTATCCATACTTTCCCTTTGGACAAGGAAACGCGTAAAAAAATGGATTCACTATATCCGACGTGAGGATTTTAATATCACTCCTAACACAAGAGTCTGCAGTCGTCACTTCAAGAGTGATGATTTGATTGAGCCATCGACTACCTCAGGACGCCGGCTACTGAAGAAAGGTGCAGTGCCCACTTTGTTTGAGTGGAACAACTACTCCATTTTAACACCAAGGCGCACCGGGGTATGGCAGAGGGGAGAAGTTTCCCCTCCACTGAACAAAGATCCTGTGCCTATGGACCTCCAGCATCAGGAGCATGACTATTGTTCATTTCCCGTTCCTGCGACCGTCGATCTTTCTTTAGATCAGACTGAAGATCTCCGAAAGGAAGTGGAACAACTGAGGAAACAGGTGGAAGAACTGTCTGTCCGTCAGAGATTTTGCTTGGGCAGATTTGCTGCATCAGACGATGACATACGGTTCTACACTAGGTCAGATTTAAAACGTATAAATTATATTATATTGTATCATTATTAAGATGCTGTATTATAAACCAAAAACTAATTTTCTGGTCTTTGCATAATACAGTATGTCCATGTAGATATTTTATTTACAGGTCAGTAAACCCGTATAATATACAAGTAAGCTACAATACAGTCTAAAAGTAAGCTAAAACTGTTGGTCATTTTGTGATGTATATTATCTCAAACATGTCCCACATCTTATGTAGGTTTGTGACTTACAATCACTTAATGGCGTTCTGGAGACTCATTGAACCTGCATCCCACAACATGGTTCGTGTGACCAGAGCAAGGGCAGCTACATCTAGGAGTGAAGGTGGAGCATCAGCCAATGCATCTATAAATATTTTTTTCATTTATCATTCCTTTCTAATTTTGTATATTATACAGTACATACAATATACATCGTGTTATGAATGTGTGGGGGGATGTGGAAGAAAACAAAATTTAAATGTTACAAATGCTACTTTCTCTGTGTATAAACACGCATATAAAAGTTTTTTAAAATTTTGTTTTAACAGGGTCAATGCCTGCAGCCCATAGATGAGTTTTTTTTTCTCTTCATGGTCCATCTCTCAGTTGGTCTGACACAAAGGAATCTGGCTCACATATTTGATATTCATCAGTCCACCATGAGTCACATTATAACAACCTGGGCAGATTTTCTGTATACCGTTCTTGGATCAGTGCGCATCTGGATGTCTGAGGAGGCTCAGGCTCACATGCCAAAGGAGTTCCAAGACTATCTAGACACACAAGTGGTGATTGACTGCACAAAGCTGCGGTGCCAAACTCCATGCTCTCTCCTGCTTCAAAGTGAAGTGTTCTCCTCTTATAAATCCCACTGCACCTTCAAGGGGTTAATTGGCATGGGACCACATGGCGCAGTCACCTTTGTGTCATCCCTGTATGCAGGATCCATCAGTGACAAGGAGCTTCTCAAGCAGTCTGGGATTGTGTCTCTGCTGAAACCTGACATGGCTATTATGGTCGACAAAGGTTTTCTTGTGGACGACTGTGTGCCATGCAAAGTCTACAGACCTGCTTACCTGTCGAAAAGGGAACAGATGTCGGCTGATGAGGTAAAGGAAACTCAATCCATTGCTCGACTGAGGGTCCATGTTGAGCGTCTCATCCGCAGGGTGAAACAACACAAGCTGTTTGATACAGTCATCCCTCTTTCCATCACAGGGAGCATCAACCAGCTATACACTGTTGCTTGCCTCCTTGTGAACTACCAGAATGGCCCCTTGGTAAAAGCATGGGCAAAGGATTAAAGACTAGACAAGACACTTGCTGTAGGGGATGGATCAATTTGAATTTATTTGTATATAATGTAATGTAAATATGTTGATTAATTGTAAACTATTTTAATAATTCAATTAAATTCAAGTTTATTTGTATAGCGCTTTTCACGAAACAAATCGTTGCAAAGCAACTTTACAGCAAATTAAGTTTCTACAATATTTAGTGGTAGCTTATCAGTGGTGACTGTCAGTTAATGTACATATGGTAGAAATGTACGGAAAAATCAATTAAAGACGTAATCAAACAGACGATGAACACTATTAACAGCAATTATTATATGATGCAATCAAACTTATAGCAAAATGTGGTAGTTCTGTATGTTGTTTCAGGGTTGGCATCATCTGAGCTCCTATGAGGGGTTGGCATCACTTAATAACCGCCAGCTTGAATGGTTTTGGGACGTGACCTAAAGAATAATGTGTCTGTAAATAAATAACTTTGATACAGCGTTTCTGTAAACTGTAAATATAAATAAATTGTGATAGTGCTTCTGTAAACATGCAAATATAAATAACTTTGATACGTTTCTGTAAACATGTAAATATAAATAACTTTGATAGTGCTTCTGTAAACATGTAAATATAAATAACTTTGATACAACGTTTCTGTAAACATGTAAATACAAATAACTTTGATAGTGCTTCTGTAAATATAAATAACCTTGATACGTTTCTGTAAATATAAATAACTCTGATACAGAGTTTATGTAAAAATGTAAATATAAATAACTTTGATACATTTCTGAAAATGAAAATTTTCTGAAAATGTGTAAATAACTTTTTACAATGTAAAACAACTTGAATTTCTTTTTCTTTTTTACGTGTTTAAGGATCTTGGCAGGTAGAAATAAAAAAAGAAATGGTCAGCCCTCTCTCTAATGGTTTTAAACATTCTACAGTCTTTGTAGATGCATTGGATCATCATGTCATCCTGTGCGTACACAACAAAATCACACCAGTCCAATCCCGAAATCTTTCAAAATTACTATCTTTCTTTTAAAGTGCTAAACTTATTTACTGAATAGACTTGTTATGCCTGCATATCTAAACTTACTGTCGAAATTAATAGAAATTTAATTAAAAAAAAAGTTTAGAAAACGTATAAACATTATTTTAAATTATAAACAATAAATCAATCTCCCTACTCTCAAACTATGTGACTTCTGTCTTCCTCATAGATCTGAAACAAGTCGCCCTCCTCGCCCTCTCTCCTGTCACCTGATCCTTTTCAGAAACTGAAAAAAAAAGACATTTATAGCTTTAAGGGATCATACAGATCGTATTAACATAATAATAACATTAGTGAAACTATAAAAACACAAGATCTTAAAAAGGTTAAGTACAGTGCTTAATTTGTAAATGAAACCTTGCCGGATCCAAATCAGCAGTTAAAAGGCGCCGTGACCGACACTGACAATACTTCAGTTTTCCCGGAACAATCAATGATGTCACTAAACGGTGATGACACAACTATAAGTGCATCGTTCACAAGTTTCTGCATGGACCTAACTATACAGCCTAGGTTTTCCAACCCTGGGTCAAAAATGGGTCGCCAGGATGATTTAAAGGTGCAATAGCTGATTGGCTTCAGAAACATTTTTTGTTACGCTGGTTGAAAGTCTCTTCACATCCCGATAGCAATCATTTAGTTAAGTGGTCTAAATGTATTTATCTGTATTTATATATTCTGTGGAAGGCGTAGGACCAAGAAATATTTGTCCAATCAAAACGCTCGGTCGGAGCGTTTTAATTGGCTTTCTTACCTGCCTGTCAACGTATGTATTAGCATACCTCTGCGCACCTGGTTCACGCAGACAGGATACGTCATCAGCGCATTCACGCACGCTGTGCAGACAGAGCGAGAATGGCAGACAAACATCAACAACCCGATCTTCCTTCCTGGTATTGTAGTACTTTTAAAGTTTTCTCAATTTCAAACAGCTTTCTCGACACATGATGTAGACTTGCGCACACACCACATATTATAGCAATTCAAACTTACCATCTCAGTGTGTTCATTATCAAAATAAAATCCAGTCAGTCAAACATATCAATTTAAAGAGTCCGTAGTATAACAGGTCTACAGCTGCTGTAATGCCAAGCACATGTGAAGAGGATGATTTTTCCGTCGATATGCGAACGCGCATGAAGCCTAGTCTACATTAACATTGAAATACATTAGTAGCACCAATCTACAAGAGCGATTTTGAACGTAAGAAAGCTGATTGGTCAATAATATGTAGAGGACCAATACATAATCAACAAATCATGCTCCAAATACATCTACATAAACACGCAATCGCTCTGTCTCGTATGCACGCATGCACTGTCACGATCTAATGCACTTGTTAATGCCGGATCTTTAAAAACAAATACCGGAATGCAAAAATCCAAAATCTGACATTTTCCGGAAAAGAATCCGGCAGGCTCCGGCTCAAATTAAGCACTGATTAAGTAAACAGAACACAAAATATAAGGGTATGCACTGTCATAAATGAAGCTAGCTAACGATAGCTTAGTTGAGAATATGTACCTTCAAAGTTGTTTGATATAACTTGAAACATACAATTTGAAGCCCTCCTCCTTTCTACTTGAAGGAGTGACCGATGCTAATCTTACAATTCGATTGACATCGTTCACTGTAATCCGTGGAAGTTCTTGCAAGCAGCGAGTGTAAAATGTCATGCTGAAAGCACTCATTGAAAACGGTAGGTAAAAACCGCTTCCGGCGCAGCACCGGAAGTTGTGGAGCAACTGAGACAAAACGCGAAAGTAGTCGTGCATAGACTCTATTGTCAAAGAAACATGGAGAAAGACCAACGAACAGACCAGGAGGAACCACAAAGAATTACATTTTCTAAAGGGTTTTTAATAATGTGATATTGTCGGCACAAGGTTCA